CCCTCCCCACCACAGCAATGAAGTCTCCCCTTCAACTTCTCCACAAACGTGCTTTCGAGAATATACTGGAAAAAACAGGGGAGACTCTTTCGACAGATGCATACATGTTGTAGGTCTGTCACATACAGGCAGACTCGTCAACTGGTTAATGGTGACTAACGACCAGGAAACTGTGTCTATGGCCATTCGTGTTTCTAAATGAATAGCTGCTTAGTTGACTAATGGCTGCTGTCTTAAATGATCATTAGTATATTAACATACATATTGGTTTTTAAGCCGGGCTTATGTTTTACTCTTTGGTCAAGATAAAATTTATCTCGATGTCTCCACATGTAACTTAATGAGCTGTATTAGAGCCAAATGCAGGCCGACCCATCCGGCATCCTTGACTGAGTATCTGGGTGCTGGTTAGCATTAGCGGGTTGGGGCACACCGCAGGAATGGCACCCAGGCGTACAGCGGGGATGTGCTTCGTGGATTACCCGCAGCACACTGAGGTCTGCAGCCAGTTTCCTCTGCTGACACACAGCCTGCTCCAGGATGCTCGCTGTACCTGTCTGTCCTTCAGGGTGTGCCTAGCCAGAGCTTTAACAGGAGGTGACACGTGAAGCAAAATGATGGGGCGTAAATGACCTTGCCCTCCCTGCTGGTTTGGATGATGCCTGCCAGTGAGTTCAGTGGGAGCCGAGGACACGTCTCCTCTCTGGAAAGCACGTTCAGAAAGGAAAACCGTCTGAGCAGCCAACTCCCCAAAGACGTGAGTGAGTGAGGTCTAATTTCTTTGCAGTGAAACCAAAAGAAACTGCCAGGGACCGACCGGGTCAGAGAGAACGAAGCTGTGTGTCCCCTTGAACTTCAGGCTGCTGCCCTTTGTGGGCTGAGAGTCATCACGGAGGATGCTGAACTGTGAATGAAATGAACGTCCTCAAGCAAGCTAGCTAGTGAGGAAGGGAGGTGGACGACACGGTTGGGGGGGGGGTCCATACAGGTGGAGCGACAGCGTCCGAGCACTAGATGGCAGCAGCCACACGCGAATTGCACGATGGGGGCCCTACCTGTCCTCTCTCCTCTTCACGCAGAGCGCCTTTTGAAGCATTTAATTTGTTACCTGCCTCTTCTCTTGTGAGCGGGCTGTGACGCCACGAGGGGAGAGATGAGAACCTCCTGCTACCAGACGTGTGACAAACAGGGCACAGGGTCATGAAGACGATCACTGCTGTCAGAGCATCTGATGAATCTGGACGAAAACTAGGGACCGAGCCTGCGAGATGAGGGGCCCTCACACCGCGCTCTTCCTGCGAAGGGCCAGACAGTCAGTGTTTCCAGCTTTCAGCCTCAAGGTTCTTAAGTTGTGGCAATCACACGACTCAACCACCGCAGCGCGTAAGCAGCTACAGACAACATAGGAACATGAGATGTGGGGTGTTGGGCCAAAGTTGGCCCAGGGGCCGTTGGCTGTCCATCCCTACACAAGAAGCCACCTGGCTTGGCCGGCGTGGTCCGTGGGGGCCCAGGCACGGCCAGGTAGCTGTTCCCTTCTCCGCTCTCAGCCCTTTCCCCAGCACCATGAGACGACCCACGCCGCCTTGCCGCCTGAACGTGAACCCCCTTCCACACGACGACAGAACCCGCTGACTAGTGCCTGTCTGTGGTTTTCCACGTAAATCCCCCTCCTGCGCCCTCGTCATCCCCACCATCCATCCTCACCGCATCCCTTATCTCCCTCGAAGCCGCTAAAACACAGAGCTGTGGGTGGTCAATATCTGCTCAATTGCCGACTTCTCACTGGCCCGCCCACTTCCTCTCCCCCAGACTATCCCGTCGGAGCCAGGGGAGTGTTTAAATCGCCTCCTGGGCCTCGGCACGTCCCGGGTCGGAACCACCAAGGTTGCTGAAGAACGCACTTCTCCTTGACCCATCAGCCTCGCCTTCCAGAACGCACCGTGGGAACTCCACTGGCCCCGAAAACGCCCTACCTTGCTAGCCGCATCACCTGCCCTCATCGTCTCCACCTACGCATGGGGACAGTCCCCACACCTGGACGAAATGCCACCCATTCTGCGACGTGCCTGAGGCTAGGGCGGAGCTTGCCCTCTGTCCACTGGCTCCTTAGATACTGTGGTTTGCGTCCCTCCCCTGGAGCTTATGCTGAGCAGCACGGTGCCTGCAGGCTGACTGCCCACGAACAAATCATTGTGGCGAGCTCTCGTTATTGATTTTCTATTATATCGCACCGAGGTCAGAGACTGTGGTCTGAATGGCATTGATCTGCGGCTCTTCTGACTTTCTCTGGGGCTCAATACTCTAATCGGTTTTGGGAAACACGCACGCGTGAGCTTGAAAAGGATGCGAGTTTCCTCACTGCCAGATCCGGGGTCTACACACGCCCACGAAGGACGATTTGTTAACTTTTTATCTGTCTTCACCAGTGTCACAGAGGGGATCGCAGGCCCCACCCTGACGGCGGTTGGTCCGTTTTTCCTCGCCACCCCGACCATGTCCTCTCAGGCAGTTCGAGGCTTATGCTGCCAGGTGCGCACAGATGCGGGGTCGCTGTACCGTCCTGGGGTGTTGCTTCTCTCGCCATTAAGTACTGACCTTTACTCTTCGTGGGGCTTTCTGCCTTCGAGTCTGTTTCGTCTGCTAATGAAATAGTAACTAACACCTGCTTCCTTGTGATCGGCGCCCAGCTTGCATCTTTTTCCATTCCTCTATTGTTAACCTCTCTGTGTCACATTTGAGGGGTGCCACTTGTTAACCACACAGAACTGGAATTTTTAAAAAGCGAACCCTGTCTCTAGTTAAAACGAAATGCGTTTAATCATCTGACGACTCTGTTTGTCCCTCCGAACAGCCATGGGTCTGTCTTTTTCTTTTTCTTTCTTTCCTGCATCTTTCTTTCTTTCCTTCCTTCCTGCCTGCCTTCTTCCCTTTCTCCTACCCTCCAGTCCCCATCCTCCCACTAAATCCAGTGTGTAGCTTGAGCTCAAGGCAGAGAAAGCCACCAAGCCCTGCCCGGGGCAGTCCTGCCTTTTACCAGCCCAGAGTAAGGTCACAGGCCTTCAGAAAGGACGAATGCCAATCATCAACTGCGTGTGGATTTACAAGTGAGGAAAACGGGCGAAGGACAGGGTCTGCTTGGGAGACAGCTCTCCTCGCTGTGGCCTGCATAATGGTGGCCCCCAACCCCAGGATACTCTGAACACAGTGCTGATGGCAGCACCGCTTGAAGAGCTCTGCCCCACAGCCTGTCACAGGGAGTGCAGCGTGGTGACATGAAAATCCCCCAGTGACCCTGGTTTAGCAGAGGGTTTTGTGAGGCTGGGAGTGCTGGGGTGTGCTGCCCTCACCCCGTCCGTGTTCAAGGGTCCTGGTGAGTCCTGTGTGACTCAGGGAGACTCTGCTTGGACAAGGGAAGGGAGGGGCTGGATTAGAGAGGTTTGTGTTCTACTTTCTTCAGAAACATTTATAAAGATTGGCAGAAAGTGCAGGTGACAGAATAGAGGGACATCGGAGTTGACATCTTGATGTCACAGGAGATGTGGTGCCACCAGACAGAAAGCCTGGCCTAGCAGCATGATGCCTGGGGCAGGGCCGTCACTTGACAGGCATAGACCTTTGGTAGTAAGTGACATTCTCCTCCGGGAGGGGACCTGCTCTGGGAGGACCTGGCCTTTGAATGCTTATGGGGTCAGCCCTTCCGGGCAACTCAGGCCCCTGAATACTGTCGGACTCTGACGTTTCTAGTGGTCTAAACAAAGCCAAGATCAAAATGGCTGTGCCAAGGGACGAAGGGCCAAGCCTCCCACCCCACGCCTGGCGCTGAGAAAGCAGTCCGCTGGGCTTCGCGATTTAGAATTAGCCCTCGAGTTTTTGGATGACGTTTCTTACATTCTACAGGCCCCTCCCCGTCTACTGTCTCATTTGATTTTCACAATAGGCGTCACGTTAACGGAGGATGCTGGGGATCAAGCACAGAATATCTTGGGAGCCTGACAGGCGGAAATAAGAAGGTGAGAACAGGAAAAATTCCGGCCGGAACAGGCCAGCCCAAGGGCCTTTGGAGAGTCCATGCGCCGTCTACTTCAAGCTTACCTCTGCCCTCGCTGTTCCCAGCTGTGTCCACCTGACTGTGCCCACTCATGTGTGCTGCCCTCAGACCCCTGGTGCCATCCAAGTCTGTGGCCCTCGGACGAAAGGCTCAGCCCTGCCGTCCTTCAGCCTGGAGGCTGGAGTGTGCACAGCTCTGTGGGCACAGGTGAACCAGGCAGAACTCATCGCCATGATGCCTAAAGGATACGCCCCCTTTGCCATCCCAAGCTTGTAGCGTTCCCTAGGCTCCGTTTAATTCAACGGAGGTAGATGAGAGGAAGAACCGACAAGGCCTGCGGCTGTCTACGGGCGATGAAGATGACAGCGAGTGTGACTTGACCCCCTGGGTGCCAGGTGGCGACGGGAAGCCTGGGAGGGCAGGTTTGCGCACCAGCAGATGGAGACAACAAACTCAACTTTAGAAGCGCTGAGCGTGAGGGTCCCCCGGGGCGCCATCTAAGTGGAGCTGGCTGGAAGGCAGCCAGATCCGAAGGCGTAAGTTCAGAAGAAAAATCTAGGCTAACGATCAACGCGGGCACCACCAGCAAACAGATGGAAAATAACGCTGTGGGAGTGGACAGGCCGCCTCGAGGGGGTGCTCGACAGGAGCAGGGACGCCCTGCAGAGAGCTCCGGGCAGGGTCTTCAGAAGGGGCTGTAGGACGAGACGCCCACAAAAGAACCTGCACGGGAGCGGCCATGAAAGGGGGCAGCCAGGGGAGGCCCCTGTCGGGAAAGAGAGAGGGAGGGCTTCAAAAAGGAGGGGGCAGTGGGGAGCAGCGATGGCTGCCTTTGTTATGGGCTTTTTTGTTTGTTTGTTTGTTCGTTTTGCCTTTTGTCTTTATACAGACAAAGGGTTTAGAGAACAACAGGCAATTACGTCCACATTGTGTTTTCAGAGCAGGTTACCCGCTAGATAGCCCGTTTGGAAAACGTGGCATAAACCTGCTTCTTCGCGGACGAGCTTCGCCTGGCGCCCGCCCCGCCCGCCCCGGCCCCACTCATCCAGGTAGCAGGCGCTTCTAGGGAGCGACGGGGTGCAGTGCCGTGCTCCAGGGAGCTCGGTGCTGGCCTACCTGGCACTCTCAAAGGTGGCCGACGCCGTCTTCTCTACGGCCCCGAACCCGACTCCAACAGCGAGACCCTCTGAAACAGACATGAAGAAGCATGAGAGGTTAGAAATCGTTTTCCGGTAAGCTTCGTCACCACCACTGTGTTAGGTAAAATTAGGCTGCCAATCACAAAACCATCACATAGTTGGAGCTTAAACCAGGGGTCAGCAGATGATGACCCTCGGGGGCCAAATCCAGCCCACTGCTTATCTTCATATGACCTACAAGCTAAGAACAACTTTTCCATTTTTAAATAGCTTTAAGAATCGCAGAGAGAATAATATTTCATGACATGTGAAAATTACATAAGTTTACCGTGCACAAGTAAAGTTTTATTGGCACACAGCCATGCTCATGTGTTGAGAAATTGTCAGTGGCTGGTTTTGTGCTACATCATAGAGATGGGTAGTTGTGAGAGAGACTATATGGCCCAGAAACCTAAAATAGTAACTATCTGGCTCTTTACGGAAAGAGTTTGATGACTGCTGACCTAAACACATAGGGTTTTATTAGTTCTCACAAGAAGTACAAGGTTGATTGGTGGCCCAATGATGTCACCGCAGACATTTGATGAGCCACCCTCAGACAGTAGGCTGTCATGGTCTACCCCGAGATGGTGTGGCTGTGGTCCAGCTTGAAGCTTGGGGATGGACAAGACGATTCTCCGAGTCCTCTCCAGTGGGACTCGCGAGCTTGCTAACTTCGCCAGCATCCTGACTATACGACCCAATGTGGAAGCACAATGCCAGTCTACAAGTGGCCGATGGAGAGGTAGAGGCTACGGGACAAAAAGGACCTGTCCCCATGGCCTGGGACCAGTGGGGTAGAGGAGTAATGGTAAGCCACTTCCTGATCCATGGGAAATCCAGCCTCCCTCCAAATGGGAAACAGAGTTAGCAGTATTGGTCGGAATCAAGACCAAGTGCTTAGCGGCCAGGAGGAATCTCTGCTATTTAGCGGGAAGAGGGGAAAATCTGATTTTCTTGTCTTCTTTCGGGATTCACTCTCTTTGAACTGCCTGTTTTTGTCCTTATGTCCTGTTTAGAGTGAGCCAAGGACACTGGGATTGTAATAATGACTCCAGGAGGAACTCGGGGACCAGAGGGCCACTTAGGCTTGTCCTGTGTTAAGGGGAATGAGCTCAGCCACGATCCAGGCTGGTTCACCCGAAGACCTCGCTAAGGCATAAAGCGTTCCCTTTGTGCTTCCACCTCCTGGGGGACCTTATGTGTTGACTGTGGCCACCGGGGGCTGCTGGTTGAGAATTTGGGATTCTGGTGCCCCACCAAGTATCTTCCCATATTTCTCATCACAACCAACCATGGGACACAGAGTCCTAGGACTTTAGAGGTAAAGGAACTCCCCAGAGATCATCTGCCATGATGCTTGGGCCACTGCCAGACTCAGAAGCCACGCGCTTGGGGCAGGGGGACGGGTCTTTCCACAACCAATAGCAGCATTGAGGCTCCGGGGCCAGCCTCCTGGCACGCATGTCACACACCACAGTGGGCTGCAGAAAAGTCCTTGAAATACTCCCTCAAAAAGCTCTTGGTCAGCTACGGCCATGCCGCCCTGAACATGCCCAATCTCGTTTGATCTTGGAAGCTAGGCAGGGTCAAGCCTGGTTAGTACTTGGATGGGAGACCACCGAAGAAGACCAGGTGCTGTAGGCATTCTAAACAAACAAACAAACAAACAAAACTCTCGGCTTAAGTGGCAAGCTAAGTCAACACTGTCAGAGCAACCAGAGATTTTTTAAAAGCGAGGTTTTAAAATTTTATTTATCATTATTTACTTGGATTCTTCATAAAGGCTGACTCTTTATTCGTCAAGTCTTTCTTCTCAGATGACTCCAGGTGCCAAATGAGGCCTTGCATTCAAGATCTCAGTCTCTGTGGTCTTCCTCTTGAGAAATGGGGGGCTGGTGGCCCTTTTTATGCCAGGCCCTGGGCTAAAAGCCTTATATGCAAGATAAGGTAGCGACCGTCAGCTCCGCTCTACAGATAAGAGGGGAAGGTGGCAGGACACTGGGCTGGGGGCCCAGGTGGGCTCTGATGCTGAGTTCTAGGCCCTTCCTTCTCCACAGCCGATGCTTCTCCTTCTCTTCCAGAAATGCCCCCCTGAGTGGAAGCCACAGCCCAGGGAAGAGTCTGGATACAAGTTCAACCTTTCTGGGTTTGCCACATACAACTGACGAGCTTCGGAAAAAGGCAGGTAGGAACGGTGTCCCAGGCGAGGCGCCGGGGACCGGCGAGAGCTGGATTTCAGGACGAGCTGGGAGTCACGTGTCTGAGAGTCTCAGATGTCCTTTGTATGCGGGAGGAGGAGCCCCGGAATCTCAGGAGAACAGGAAGTCGGAGGACATCTGAGATGCCGCATCTGGCCACCTGCTGCCTTCCGGGCTCCTCTGTTCACCAACTCGTTGTTCTCAAGCTGGTTCTGAACCCACGCTGCCGGGACCATGACCCATTCTGCTCCGGGTTTCTAGTGCAAGGTCCCCTGGCCCACTGGGGAGAGGTGTCAAAGCTAGGAGGGGGACTAAGGGGTGTTTCCTGATGTGAGGGGGACAAATCCCTCCCTTTGAAAAAATTTGCTTTGCTAAACCATAAACAACAGCTGTTAGATTCTTTGGTTAAAGATTTTGCTCTAATGAGTCATTTTCATGTAAATGATAGTGCAGCCTAGAGCAACAGGACCTGTAATAATTAGCGAACTAACCCTTTCTATTAATTTAGCATGTAGCCCGAACACTTTGACTGAAGCAAATGCTCCCAACAGCTCTGGGGAGGTCGAGGAGAGAGAGGGGCTGCCCACCAAACTGACACAGTGTGGAGGGGCAGGGCCCGGCCTTGACCCTCAGTCTCCCCTTATCCCCCTACCCCAGTCTGCTGGCCTGGGCTGTGGCTTTCTCCCAGGTACAGGCAGCTAGAGCTGGCATCTGCTTCCTGAAGCGGCCTGGACAGAAAGAATGCATTGTCTCTCGGCCCTGCCCTGTAGCGCAGCATCTCCTGGCTTGCCAGCTGCCCCCAGGATGGGAACCACAGCCCGCGGCCCCCGATGCACAGGTTGGTTGCCTAGGGAGGCAGCCGACGCTTAGCTGATTCAGAAAGGAGAAGAGGAAACAGAGGTAACGCCGAAAAAGAATGTAATTGCTGCCCCGTCTGATGGTGGAAAAAAATACCTCAGAGCTAAACTAATAAGAAACCAAGACAGATCACACACATGGGAAAGAACATAAGTAAGAGAATTAAGGCCGACGCTGAAGATCAACAGATGGCAGAAAGAACCCGCTGGCTGGAAAAGGAGCAGGGGAAAAATGCCAGCTGGAGCTTACACCCCAGGTGTTCCTCCAAGAGTACAAATTAGGGAGGTAATTATGACACAACCCAAAGTGACTGGAATAGTATCAGTGAGCCACAGCCACTGCCATTACCTCAGGTACAAAGAGGGGAAACAGCCAGGAACCTGCGTGATCAGTCCAGCGGAACGCAGGGCCAGGCACCGTCCTGGGGTCGAACTTGACAGTAAGCGCTGGAGCTGGGCTGGCCCACCCCAGTCTTCTCCTGCAGCTGGAAGGTGGGTGTGTCTGCCTCTCCTCATCTCTCCCGATTCTCCGTCTCCCCACTGGGGAAAATAAAGAGGACCGGGGCCCAAATCCTGGTGTATGATCGGAGGGTCTCATAACAACGAAAGGAAAATGGAGCTTTGCTTTCTGGAGGAGGCTCCCTCACGACCGACCTCTGCTGTCGGAGGCCGGCCTCGACCGAGTAGGATGCTGAGCAGCATCCCATGCTTTTTACCTGCTGGATGCTGATAATGCCATCCATCCCCAAATGTGCCAATCGGAAATGTCTCCGGACGCTGTCTCAGGTCCCCTGGGGGAAAAACTGTCCCTGGCTGAGCACGACAGAAATTTCTTTCCCACAGTTCTGAAGGCTGGGAAGTCTAAGATCAAGTTGCCGGTGTCTGGTGAGAAGCTGCTCCCTCGTTCAGAGCTGGCACCTCCCTGGGTCCGCGCATGACTGAAGGGGGCTGGGAGCTTCCTTGGGCCTCTTTTATAAGGGCGCTAATCCCATTCGGGGGGCTTCACCCTCATGACCTGGTCACCTCCAAGGGCCTCACCTCCTGACACCATCATCGCCTTGGGGTTAGGATTTCAGGGACGGGAGGGGACACAAACATTCGGCCCATAACAACTCTTTTCATTTTCAGCCTTGATTCCTCCCCGCTGCACCTGCCTACCTGGCCACTGCCACTGAGCCGGGAGACACGTGACAGGCTAGGTACGTTACCCACAGTACAGTATGGGTCCCCTGGCATTCGGCTATCGGGAAAGTCACACTGTCTGGCGTAGATACAGCACAGAGCAGGTGTGATGCCTGTATCCCCACTCTGACCCCGCCGTGTGGCTGAGCCTTCTGGGGAGACTGGCCCCCAACACGCTTCTTCCCATCTGTCTTCGGCCTCAGGTGTCTAGCGGGAAGGGAACCAGGAAGATTCTATCACACGTTCATTAAATAAAACATTGGTCCAGTCAGCCAGGTATTTGCCACAGAACCCTGCTGCAGTCTGACAAAGGCCCTGTAAAGGATGGGAATTAGCAACTTCAGGTTATTCTCTTGAAAAAGCAGTCTGACATGCTTTCCTAACGTGGATGACTACCTCTGCTATTCGTACTGGGTAAAGTTAGGTGTCGGGAAAGATGAATAAATAGAGATATTCCAGAAGAGTTCAATTCAACTCAAATTCTTATCAATATCGATAAAGTCAGGTCTCAGGGTTTCTTAAGAGATATTAACAATTGCAGATTCTCTAACGTGAGTCCCTGACTAATTAAAATAACCATGTCCTCACCCCTGTTTGCAGGCGTGCTTTCCTGGTGGATTTTACTGTGTCCAGTTGGGCTCCGCTTACATGAGGATGGCCCCAGAAATCTGCTACGTCCAGTCACTGCCGCCTCCTTCAAGTGGAGCGCAAGCCCAGCGGACAGTGCAGGGGGCACCTCCCCGCTGGCATGGATGAGGTCAGACTGAC